AATTCGTGTCATGTATGACGATATTATTCATGTAACAACAAGATCTGACCATTCGTCTGATGCATTATCACGAATTCGTGTCATGTATGACGATATTATTCATGTAACAACAAGATCTGACCATTCGTCTGATGCATTATCACGTATTCGTGTGATGTGTGTCGATATTATTCATGTAACAACAAGATCTGACCATTCGTCTGATGCATTATCACGTATTCGTGTGATGTGTGTCGATATTATTCATGTAACAACAAGGTCTGACCATTCGTCGGATGCATTATCACGTATTCGTGTGATGTGTGTCGATATTATTCATGTAACAACAAGGTCTGACCATTCGTCGGATGCATTATCACGTATTCGTGTGATGTGTGACAATATTATTTATATAACAACAAGACCTGCATGCACTCTCTGCAGGCCACACACAAAATACGACCATTCGTCGGATGCATTTTTAGACGTATTTATATGTCACAATGTTATTATTATAACAACAAAAACATCTGTAGGCATTCTCTGAGAACTGAAAAAAATATGACCATTCATCGAAAATCACAAATTAGTATGTGACAATATTATTTATGTAAAAAGAGCAACACCTGCAGATGCTCTCTGCATGCTGTAAAAAATACAAACATTCGTTGGAAATATTTTCACAAATCCGTGTGTAATAATATTACTCGTATGGCAATAGTTCTGAAGAAATGAACGAGTAATTTTTAGGAACACCGATGAATTTTCGCATTGCAATTTTTTTTTCTGCAGTGATTGCTAGTTTTTACTTACTAAGCAAAGAGCTGCAGAGTAACGCACCACTGGCTGTACGAACATGAGGCCATCTTACGTTGTTCATTTTGGTAATTATGAACGCGATATGCAAACTGCAACCCACACACACACAACCCCACGCTTCTCGAACTGGACATGTTCCGAGTTCCAACCGATCGACATATAATCAATATTTTGGAAGCCACCCATAATGTGGAAACTCACAGTACACTGTACTGCCCCCACCGACAACAAACACAAAGCACCAACCGCTACCACATTATCGCAAGAATACGTAAATACGCGATAACACCACGTAAAATTTCACCAAGGACGAACACATGACCGTGCCGTGTCAACTTCACTCATCCACGAATATCACCCAACGCTCGACTCACTTATAGACTTATATCTATCACTCATTATTTATCACTCACAGATATATCGCTTATATATCGCAGACTTACTTATAGGACTGGTAGCACGCTCGTATTTTCAAGCCGCCCTTCACGAAGCTGATCAGATTCTCGTCCTGTATGAATGTGAGTAGGGCTCTCTCCAGCAGGCATTCCGCATAGCACAGCTCCGCATGCACCTCCTCTGCAAACACAGACGATGGCAGCCATCGTCGCACAGACGTCCAGCGAAAGATCGCGGCGGCGAGTGCACCGCCCCCACCCCATGCTTACGCTAGCAACCGCAGTGATACTTTTATATGAAAGTGTCAATGACACTGTAGCTCACCACAAAAAAGGACACAAATGAGTGAGTAAGAAGAAGTCAGTTTTAATTGAGCAACCATCGACGTACATTATAGAAACGATTGCCATCTGTATATCGCAATAATAATTTATAAACCAAAATGAATCACAATTTGTGACCGTAGATGCGCGCTATACCCGGCTTTGTAGGCGATGGCGTTTGAAATAAATAGGTTAATGCTGCGTTCCGACATGTTTTGTAAATCTTTACTCTAATATAAGACGTTTTATCGGCAGGGTGGAGAGGAAATACCAATTTTGCATTAAAGTATATTGTCAATGAAATCTTGTAAAAACGAACGAGAGAGAGTGTGACACAACAGACTGTTTGTGTGCTATATAATATGCGCATATAATTGCCAAACCCTACTAATTTCTTCTTTCTTTTTTATATTAAAACCCTTAGCCCTTATTATCATCACATACCAAAAATGAGCAAAATCCGTTGAACCTGAAACTGACTAATGGCAATTCCCATTTTGCCAAAAAATTGCATGGCTCGATAAGTAGTCGACTGGCATGCTTCAAAATAAGACGTTTAATATGGGAGCATAGCAGTAACAACTTACCAATTTCAAACATTGCGGCCAAAGGGTTCCTGAGTTATCGTTGACGCGAAGCGAAATGTTGACTGACGGACGGACGGACGGACGGACGGACGGACGGACGACGACCCATGGCAATAGCTCAGCTTGACGATGTCTCAGGTGAGCTAATAAGAGGGCAACTTTAGGAAAACCGAAAATTCTCCTAACGTGGCTGTTACATAAAGGTGGTTTCACTGTGTAACTGCAGTGATACTTTTATATGAGGGCAACTTGAGGAAACCCCAAACGCCTCCTTTAGAGACACGTGGCTGTTGTATATATATGTGTTTGTATATATATATATATATATCTATGCCGCCACCGGGGAAATACCAAAAGCAGATTTTTATAGATATATGTATGTTAACACGGGGTTGATTTTGTACATAATGTCACCAGCATAATAGTCCTCTCATTATAGCACTGTAATGCGCCACACCACGCATTTTTCGTGTTTGTATAATGAGAAATTCTCCTACCTTCAGTGTAAAGGTTGTAGTCTGGTCGCTTAACCATCTTAGATAAAGAATTGATAACACCATCCTTTCGACGGAATCGTTGGCAAACTTCCAATGATACCTTTATTATTTCCACTGCAGCTTGAATATCCCTCTGTAAATAGTAAAAGATGGAAAAAAACTGAGCAAGAAACATTATTTTACTGATTCTGTCAGCTCATATACTATGTTTAAAAAAAAACAACCCTGGACGAGTACCATTGAGCTTTGCTGTTGACTTATACTCATGAAAAAATGCATGTAACTGCGAATATAATCTCATTTCGAAATTACTGTAAACACACATGATATGCATTCTGCTATAAGCATTGTACGCAACAGCTAATGCAAGACATAGATTACCGTATCAAAGGTGAGGGTGGCTTGCAAATACATGATGGTCCCGTAGCCAAGTGCATGGTACATGCTCCTGTCAGCCCTGACAATGTACAGACACGAAAGCAACGTTAAATCTATTGCAATGGTTATAGATAAAAAAATACTTTACAGGTTTATATTACAGAGAATATCTTGAACGTTACTGCGTGATTTGGATTTGAGCATGGTCTAAGCCATTTTCACGTGGCCCTGCACGAACCTATTCAATGAGCCACACCCTCATGCAGCATTTTACAGCATTAACTTGATGTGTATCTGACCGTCTCCCCCACACATATCTAGCGACCCGCAAGGCAGTCAAACGGAGGAACTCCCATCCACTTCAAGCCCATTTCGAATCGCACAAACCGTTCAGGAGCAAAGGAATAGCTTAAACTGAGAAGGGTAAACAAATTTGTCGATCAAAGTATCTACCCAATAATGTGGTGGATTTGGACAGCAGTGTGGAGTCAGGTGCGCGTTCCTGTACACAGACTATTTCATTGCGGTCACATCCGCTGCCTACCATCACTGAACTTATCATTGAGGAATCGATGGATCAATTTGATGACAACTATCTTCTTTATGGGGTGGATTTTCCAATTATTTGCCATGGGAGCCAGGTGCACATTTCTGTAGGTAAACTCCCACACCGTGGCCACATTCATTCCGCTGCATTGCCGCACTCATTGTTGATGACTATAGATTAACCTGAGAAGAACTATCTTCTCTATACGACACACTTTTCATTCAGATTATATGATACGGTTATAGTCACCGGCCCATTGTCGTAAACATCATAGATTGTTACGAACATAGCGTTGTAACTTTA